ATTTTTAGTGATGATCATCCTGTAATTAAAACATCATATGCTTTTTTCCTTTCACATTTATATAGCGAACATTTTCCATTGTCATTAAATGTCACTACAATTTTAATGGTTCCAAAATATTCTCATATTCAGATAGATGTACCATAGTATTTTTGACCATTTCTCCATTGTTTGGATATTTGTTTCTGGCTGAGTTGTTTTTTGTTTTCTTTTTAACATTAGAAACATAATACTGCAATGAAGCTTTGAACACGTCTTTTTTTTTTTTGAGGAAGATTAGCCCTGAGATAACTGCTGCCAATCCTCCTCTTTTTACCGAGGAAGACTGGCCCTGAGCTAACATCCATGCTCATCTTCCTCTACTTTTATACGTGGGACGCCTACCACAGCGTGGCGTGCCAAGCGGCACCATGTCAGCACCCGGGATCCAAACCGGCGAACCCCAGGCCGCCAAAGCGGAACGTGCGCATTTAACAGCTGCGCCACCAGGTCGGCCCAAGAACACAAATCTTTGAACACATCTCTGATTATTTCTTTAATATAACTTCCTAGAAATGAATTAACAGATCAAACAGCATTTTAAAGTAGAAACTTGACTTCTAAAAATCAAAGGAATTCTTTGTTGATAGAACATTCAATAAATGCATATGATTATAATATGACTTTATTTTCCTTTTCTTTTTTGTAACCCCATTTTGGGGTAGTTTTCATTTGGAGAATAAACTTTTAATGAAAAAGGAGCTTTCCTGAGGATATTGTATTTATATTTGCAACCATTAATTAGATGGTAAAGTGCCTTTCCTTTTTTGCTTATTCTTTTTCTAAGAGGAGATGGAGTGTAGTACATGAAAGAGGAAGTTCCATTTGGCCAGGCAATGGGCTTGTGCTCCTGAGGGAAAGTCAGCAAACGTGAAGGATTGGGAACCAGGGGGAAAAATGGTCCATTCCAGTCATTCATCAGTCATGGAATCTGCCCAACTACAACGGAACAGCAGCCCACGCAGAACCCTGCACAGGGGCTGCCCTCACCAGCATGGCACCTTGCATTTTCCATTGACTGGGTCAAGTATCAACACTCGGTTAATTAGTCACAATTTTCAGGATCTAACGGTGTCACATGGAGAGATTGCTGCTCAGAGAAGAGCGGTTCTAGGGTCTGCCCCTGCAGCTAGCTGGCTCTGGGAAAACTGTCAGGGGACTAGAGTGATTCAGGCACGGAGAACAGCAGGCAGTAATTTCACTGCTGCTTTTTATCTGTCCCTCTCTCCTCCGAATGCTGCTGGCTAGTAGCAAAAGCTTGAAAGGGAAGGCTGGGAGAGAACAATAAGGGGAGATGGGAAAGCACTTTGAATAATTTCCTTAGCTGAATTCACATCAACTTCTTCTAAAGAACTATGGTAACTGGCCAGGCCCAGCTGGCAGACTGGTTTTAAGTGAAACACAAAAGCTTTTGGGAGTTCTTGGGACCAGAAACACAGGTCCGGTTATACTCTGTCTCTATCTACCTCTTTTCATTGTGGATTCCCAGATCCATTCATTCTTTTCCTCAGAGTGGATTTGATGGTAGGGGAATGTATATTAGTAAATGCCAGAGCCACTGTATTCTCCTTATTAGAGTCAATTCCAAAAAAAATGGTTAAATGTTGTTAGGTTGTCATCAAAGCTAGTACTTCAAACATCTATTGATTCATAGAATAAGTTTTAAAAATGTGACAGTGGTCTATTTCCCCCTGTAAAGCTTTCCAGAGCATTCCTTTTTCTCTGTCGGCAAGAGCAGTTTTCCTACAGATCTAGCCAGAGATCCAGAAGAATCCTTTAAAGTCATCCAGTTTAACCTCTTAATAGATACTTGGACCTCTCATGTCCAGTGACTAGCTAGATGCCCATTAAGAGAAGGGCTCTCCCTCCCTTCCAAAGCAGTCTATCCCCAGTGTGGACAGTTCTGTCTCATCATTCTTCAGCTAAGCCACAATTTGAGTACCTGGGCCTTCTATTTTTATTCTTGTAGCCACACAGAAAAAATGGTTTCTACTGCTATATTATATTCCTTAACACACTGTCAACTTTTATTGTCTCCTTTCTGAGTCTTCCCTTTAGAGCTTGAAGTTTTCAGTAAGTCTGTTTGTTTGTTCATTCATTCATCAAATATTTACTGAAAAATTCTACATGTTAGACAAGGTACCAAGAAGTAAAGATGAATACTGCAGAGTTCCTGCCTTCTACAAGTTCAGTTTGAAGGAAAGATAGACTCATAAATCTATAACTTCAAAATAGCACAGTGCTTGACATAGATAGGCATGGAAATCTACAAAAACTCAAAAGAGGAATGGCTTACCCAGAGAAGTGGAGTTGGGGTGATCATTTAATATTTCCTGGAGCAGATGCCATCTGAACCCTATCTTAGAAAACTGGAAGAATTGAGCCAGTCAAAGGAAAGATGGAAAGTTTCTGATAGAGAAAACAGCTTGAGTAAAGGCCAAGAGATGAGTTATAGTGCTGGAAAGGATTGTATATTGACATATATATATATATATGTATAAAGGAAAGTTATAGTACAGGATTGTGCAGGAAAGAGCCAGCAGTTCAGTTCAGTCTTCCTGGGAGTGAAAGTGTAAAACTAGAAATAAAGGAGATAAGGATAAGGGCTAGATTATGAATATCTTTCTTAAAAGGCAAAGTTTAGTGTGCCCTTTGCAACAATACTGATACCCAGGAGAAAGCATTTAAGCATCTCCCGGTCTCTGCTTGCCTCCTTCCCTGCCTCCATTCATCAAGAAATTATTATCCCTGAGGTGCCAACTCTAGTAAGACCAATAAACTCCAGTTGATGTTCTTGGAGCCAGACCCAAGTTACACTGAAAACACTCATCTTCCCATCTTTTTCTTCCAAAACCCCTAGATCGTAGAGAAACTGTCTCATAAATCACCTAACTGCTGTCTTGGTGGCTATTTACATGACAATGTAGTTGAGATTATACAATGAAAATGTACTGATCCCAGAAGCCAGACTCTCACTGCCTTTTCTGCTCTGCCTTGAATTCCATGAAGGCAGAAATTATCCAGTCTTAATCCCCGTAGCCTTAGCTTCAAGACAGTCACATAGGAGATGATCATCCAATACTGATACCATCATCAGTTGTTAATAGCTACTTAAACCTAAAAATGGATTCACATATACTCTGCTGTGAAGAACCTCACGGTAAAGTCTCATCTTGTTCAATTCTTCTTGCTGTCTTTATTCCAGGCTTACTGTCTGTTTTTTGGACCTGGCATACCCTTTCTTACCTCAGGGATTTTACATATGTTCTTCCTTCTGCCTGGAACATTCTGTCCTCCTCCCCAGCTCCCACCCTGACCTCCTTAAAAGTAATTAACTGCTATTCACCTTCAGGAAAATTCCCTATGTTTGGTTCTCCCGTCAGCTACTCCTGCACTCTGTATTTTCCCTTCATATGCCTCATAAACTGACATATTCACTGCTGTAGCTTCAGGACTTAGTCCAGTGCCAGGCACGGGGCTGGTGTTTAATAAATATTAAATAAATTCATGATTACATGCCTGCTACTAAGAAATATCTCTGTCCAAGGAACATTGGAGTTTTTCAGTGAATAAGCAGAAGTAGACAGATGTCAGAAATATAAAAACATGGGATTTTAGTTGCCGTGTTTGAATTACTAATTTGAACCTTTCAATATAAATATAAAATACAATTATGAAAACAACCTTCTGGAATTCAGAGTTTTATTAATTCATTCAATAAAAAATTGCTAAACATTACCTTGACATTTGCAGTGGTATAACTGTCAAGTTACAGCTGATCTTACCTTGACATTGAACTTTTCTGACTAATTGAGTGCCCTAATTAATTTTTCTGGATTAACTACTAAATTCTTAGTCCTCATTTCTTTTTATCCAAGAGCAGAACTTAATCAAGTAATCATAAATTTAGTGCGCTATATTTGTTAGCATATATGCAGAAATTAAATATCCAATGACAGGGGACTGGTTAAATAAATGATGGTACATGACCTTGATGAAATATTTAGTGATTTAAAATGGATAATTATAAAGATTACCTAGCTGTATGGAAACGGCTTAAAATACAACGTGAATTGGAAAAAAATCGGAACATAATATAGAAAAATAATATAGCCATGGAGATAGAGATTAAAAGAGAAGATAGAGATTAAAAGAGATTATAAGAAATATGTTAAGTAAGGTGGTTTGTGAATTTGGGGGAGACTTTTAATTATGTTTTACATATTAGAAGGTTATATGTACATTGGATGTCAATTACTATATTTGTAGGCATAAGTATGAAAGCTTTGTTAGAATATAAACTATTCAAATTTACATGCTGTGGCAGTAATATATTCCTTGTCTCTATCTACTGGAAATTAAAACCTATTTATTACTAAAAAGTATCTCACATTTGTTATGACTCCAGAAGGAGCCCTGCCTTCTGAAGCCAAAATTCCTTATTAGATAGGAACACGCTTGTTTGATGGATAAACTATGTTAGAACAATAATACTGGTAATCACAAAAGGAAAACATCCAAATGTCACTACTCTACCAAATAAAACATTTTTCATGTAACTTGTCTTCTTCCATTCTTTTTCATATGTATGTATAATTTTTGCAATTTACACTAATGATTTTTTTGCATTTTTTCATATTACATAATGTGTAACCTTTTATTTCCTACTTCATAATGATCATTTTAATTGCCGTATAAGGGAAGCATTTCTTAAAAACAAAAATATAAGGCCCTTTAAATAAGCAAAAATGTAAGGCCCTTTGAATTCTTGCGATGCAGGGACTAACTTGAGTGTTTTTCCTGACCTTCCTTTGTCTGCTGACAGTGCGCTTTCTAGCTTTGCATACAAGACTGTTATCCTCTGATTTCCCTTTGAGTAGTAAGACGATAACACAGAGTGCAAGGGGAGCTAGGTTTAGGTGACAGCCACATCATTTAATATCTGCTTATTGTTTCTACAGGGGAATTCTGGCCTGGGATTCAGTATTGCTGGAGGGACAGATAATCCCCACATCGGAGATGACCCTGGCATATTTATTACGAAGATTATACCGGGAGGTGCTGCAGCAGAGGATGGCAGACTCAGGTAAAGATCTGAAATACTAGAATTATTTGGAAAATAAATATGCCACATCAATGAGACACGTTTGTACCTTTGGAGAATAATAATGCTACAAAAGTTCTGTAGTTGAAAGAGAAAGCTGTCAAAGCAAGCTTTCTATAATGACTTTCTGGATCCCTTATTACTCATTGAATTTTAACTAGTACTTAATTTGTGTTTGTGAATAACTACCGCATTCAGCAATGGACCAAACACCGTAAGGAGGGGATACAGATATATCTTTTGTTCCATGGGACCTTCAGTCTGATTGGAAAGAAGAATACCATGAGCTGATGAGCAAATAATAAAATGTGTAGAAAACAGTATATTGTAAGTAGTATTAGGAATTAATGCAATGTTATAGACACTGTGTATTCATGAATTCAGCAACTACTTATAAGGAATTTCTGTAGGAGTTTGGACAGAAAGAATATAAAAGACTATTTCATAAGAAGATTCCAGTCTGGTTCTTAAAAAAATAATTAAGATTTCACTAACCTCAGAAATCTGAATGAGAACACCGAGGGAGAAAATGCAAGTTGTCCCAACAAGGAGGGAAACCAACTTGACTTGGCTGAAGAACCCAAAGTGAGATTAAGTAGGTGGAGTGGAACCAGATGTTGCTCAGGGTAGAGTAGTAGTGGTTTGAACCAGGACCCCTCTCTTTAAAGAACTAAAGCTTGTTTGGGGAAATAAGAGTCACCCGTGTGGGGCACTCAGTCAATGATATAAAATTCTATCAGACATCAAAACACTAATTAAAACGCATCGCAGATTGGAACAATCAGGAGAGATTTCCCAGGGGAGAAAAATGGGTCCTAATGTTATTTTAGTGCCTCTACTAGATTTTAAATGCCCTCAGGCCAAGTAGTTACATATAGACATGGATCAATAAATTCTTGCTGAATGAATGAGTGAGTTTTTGAATGAATGAATGAATAAAATGAGAAGAGAAAGGAGGGTGAATTAATGATTAGAGCGAAGGAGGGTAACACACACAAAATCCTGTAGGTAGGAATGACCTTAGCTTGCATGGAGCCACGTTGAAGACTGTGACCTAAGTGGCAGAAATGTAAACTTCATAGACCTTCCTCAGTCTATTTTTCATTAAGCATAAATAAGTTAGTGTACTGTGTTTCTTATAAAGCAACCAAGGACACTTTTTGTTCCCCATCCAATTGTTCTGATGCAGTGATTACTTTTGACAGCTGCATCTTGGCCGCTTGTGGAGGAGAATCTCAATTTTTTTCAGGTACATCTGCATCTCCTATCAAGAAGAAAAGAAATGAGTACACTCCCACAGGAAACACATGCTTTTTGACAATAGAATTTTCAAGCTGAATTGACTGAATTAATTTCTGAGGGAGGAACTATCCAGACTGCAGAGTGAGGGATCTGAAATAGATGCTGTGTAATTTTGTGAGTCATGGTGGGGACTGGGTTTGCTAATATTGAACCCTGGAGAAGCTCCGTTTTAAAAGTTTTAAAATAGAGTTGTTAGAGGATAATTCAGAAATTGGTGGGCCACAATCATCATTTTGTACCACTCTCTACCTAGAAGTATGGAAACATCCACCTCTTAGCCAAATTCTGGCTCTGCGTGTGAGATAAAACAGACTTTTTGTACATGCTTAACCTACAATTAAGAATGAAAAGTGGCGTCTCTGAGAGTGCCACCATTCTTTGCCTGCAAGCATGAGTGGCAATCTCATACATAGGGAGATAAAAGGAAGTTCTGCTGTGCTGGAAGCATCATTCAATAGTTGTAAAGAGAATAATCATAATGAGAGGTAACGTTTATTGAGCTTTTATTGTGTGTGGGCATTGTGCTAAAATTGGTAGGTAGGTAGGTAGGTAGATAACCTAAACCCCAACTATGCCAGGCGTATAGGAGGTGCTCAGTAAATTTTAGCACTGTTTCTCCCCTTTCCTTACCTACTCTCTTTACCTCTCAGTAATCGTTCCTCTGCTGTCACCTCCGTTCCTTTTCCTTTCTCTCTATGGTGTTCTATTCCCTTTATTCTCATCCCTTCCTCCTTTCCTTCAGTCTCCTTTCTTCCTCTATATCCTTCCCTAAGCTTCCTGTTCCTATCTGTTCAAACTCCTTTTCCTCTTGGTGATAACATGGAATTAAAGCCCATTTGTAAACAGGTATAGTACTGAAAAAGGTCTATGTTTCTATTCTCAAGTTTATACTACAGTGAACTGAATCTGCTGTTTCTCTCACTTAGAAAATAAGCCCACAAACTAAACATAGTGTTCTTTTACATGACAAATTCTTTGGTCCTTCCTGTGGGTTAGAGACTCTTAAAATTTTTTTTGTATCCTTTACTTTATAAATTATATTTTGACAATTAACTAATACCAAAATTTACAGAGAAGCTGAGGCCCAGAAAAGTGAGGTGATAGGTCTGCTCCAAGGAGAGTAGTAATCTGGACTCTACTTTAGTTGATATATAATAATCAGACCAATAGTAACAATAGCAAAGACCAACATAGTGCTTCAATTTGCCAAGTCCTTTTCTGGCACATTAACTCATTTAAAGTATACAAGAACTCTATGAGATCCATACTTTTATTACTCTCTGTTTTCAGATAAGAAAATCGAGAAACTGAGAGGTTAAGTAACTTGCACAAGATTGTCCTGATGGTGGACAAAATCCTGGAGCCAAATTTGAACCTAGGTGGTTGTAGGTCCAATGTTCATCCATGTCTCTATGTTCTAAGTTATACAGCAGAAAGAAAAAAAAAAAAAAAACACTTGAAAGATATACTATGGTAAGCATCATTCTAAAAATGTCACTCCCCAGAATTCCACAGCCTAATCCATTGAATCTTTGCCTCTGATGAGATATCAGTCCTGTGATTACGTTATGTTCTATGGTATAGCTGACCTTAAGAGAGGGAGACTATTCAGGTGAGCCTGATCTAATCATATAAGCCCTAAAAGTGTAGAGTTTTCTCTGGCTGGTGGCAGAAGAAGAAAAGAGACTTAAAATGTGTGAAGTACTTGACACTTTTCCTGGTTTGAAGATGGAGGGGGCCATGTGAGGAGAAATGAGGATGGCTTCTAAGAGCAGAAGCCTCCAGCTGACAGCCAACAAGGAAGCGGGAATCTCCGTCCTACGACTGCAAGAGCTTGGAAGAAGACCCTGAACCTCCAGATGAGAATGCAGCTTGGCCAACATCTGGATTTTAGCCTTGTTAAGAACCTGAGCAGAGATTCCAGACATACCGTGGCAGACTTCTGACCTACATAATGAGCTAATAAATGGGTGTTGTTTTATTTGTGAAATTTTTGGTAATTTTCTAAAGAGCAATAGCACACCACTAATACATACATCATTCTTGGAATTCTGAGTTCATTATGAAAAACCTTCCTGTGTGTGCTCCATCACCCCCAATATAAAGTGAGTGTGCAGGCTTAAGACACAGATGAGGTGAGAGGTGACTTTCTCCCTAATTAGATCAAACTCAAAACTGGGCTCTTGTCTCGGTGGTTGCCCCAGAAGAGAGATGTAGGAAAAAAGAGCATACTATTTGGTGTCAGAGGACCTGGGTTTCAAGTTCTACTTTCTAGCTCTGTGACTTTGTGCTTTTTTTTAATGCTCTCTGTGCTCCAGTTCCCTCACTGGTAAATTGGAGGTGAGAGCATGTTTCTCAGGAGACTGTGATAAGGATTAAATGAAACAGTCAGTGTGAAGGAGCTGGGTAAAATTCAAAGCCCTCGACACAACTTAGTCTGGAGAGCGAGCCGTTTAACAGAGTGCTGAACTTGAGCCATAAGTCTGTGACAGCCAGGAAGTGACAGTTATGGTAGACACAATTCTAAGATGACCTGCAATGACCCACATCTTTGCATAATCCCTTTCCTTTGAGTGCGGGCCTGACCTATGAGTATGATGGTCTGTCTGTCTCATGATAATATTACTCACTATGCCGAAAGAGATTTCAAAGATGTAATTAAAGTCCCTAATCAGTTGACTCTGAGTTTATCAAAAGGGAGATTAGCCTGTGTTGGCCTGACATAATCCAGCGAGCACTTTGAAAGCAGAGATTATCCTGCTGGCCTAGATGAAGCAAACTTTCATGTTGTGAGAAGACCTGTGGAGGGGGGCACATGGCAAGTATCCGAGGGCAGCCTCTAGGAGCTGAGAGCAGTCCCCAGCCTATAGCTAGCAAGATGGGATATGTCAGTCATACAGCCGAATTCTACCAATAGCCACATAAGACTGGAAGAGAACCCCAGGCTCCCACAAGGAATGCAGTCCAGATAGCACTTTGATTGCAGCCTTGTGGGATCCAGAGTAGGGGACTCCACTAAGCTGTGCCCAGACTCCTGAACCACTGAACCTCTGAGATCATAAATATATGTTATTTTAAACTGCAAAATTTGTGATAATTTATCACACAGCAATAAAAAACAAGTATGGAGGTCTAGCCTGGTGGTGTAGCGGTTAAGTTTGCACATTCTGCTTCGGCGGCCCCGGGTTCACAGGTTTGGATCCCGGATGCAGACCTACGCACTACTTGTCAAGCCATGCTGTGGCAGGCATCCCACATATAAAGTAGAGGAAGATGGGCACTGATATTAGCTCAGGGCCAGTTTTCCTCAGCAAAAAGAGGAGGATTGGCAGCAGATGTTAGCTCAGGGCTAATCTTCCTCAAAAAAAAAAAAAAGTTTAAATTAAAAAATCCCCCGCAAATATGGACACGATGGAATGCTGGACCCTGAGGGGAGAAAAAACAGTCAGAAACAAGATGTGGACCAAGATCAGAAATAAGGAAGAAACCAGTCCCACAAGGGGAGGGACAGCAGAGACAGGGACTAGCTGAGATATGTTGGTACATGTGATGGCTGGAGATGTGAATCTGAGCTGCAGTGAGGGAGAGAGCCAGAAGCTTTGGGAAAATGTGAGATGAAGGCTAAGAGTCAAGGCAAGAGAGCATATGATGTTTTAGATGAATTTCTCTGGACCAATGTC